CTGTCTTGATGATCTGTCCATTGATGTCAGTGGAGTGTTAACATCTCATACTATTGTTGTATTGTTGTCAACTTCTCTCTTTTTGTCTGTATTTGCATTACATGTTTAGGTGCTCTTGTATTGGGTGTGTTTATGTTAACAAGTGTAATACCCTCTTGTATTGATCCCTTTATCATTGTATAAGGCCTTCTTTGTCTTTCATTGTAGTCTTTATTTTAAAGTCTGATATGATTTTGTCTGATATGAGTATTGCTACCCACACTTTGTCATTTTTGTTTGCATGAAACATCTTTTTCCATCCTCTCACACTCTGTGTGTCTTTACCCCTGAAGTGAGTCTCTTGTAGGTAGCATATTCAAGAGTCTTGTTTTTTTTTTTTTTTAAATCCAGTCAGCCACCTTATGTCTTTTGATCAGAGCATTTAGTCCATTGACATTTAAAGTAATTATTAATAGGTAATACTTATTGCCACTTTATTACTTGTTTTCCAGTTGTGGTTACCATGGGGTTCATATATGTTGACTCATAATTATATCTACTTGTTTTAAACTGGTAATCATTTAAATTCAAACACATTCTAAAAGATCTACATGTTTTACCTTCATAACCCACATTTTGTGTATTTGATATCATATTCTGCATCTTCTTGATTATCCCTTAACTATTTATTTTTAGTTATAGCTGCTTTTATAGTTTTTTTGTCTTAATCTACATACTGGCTTATTTAAGTGATCTTCAATCCTTACTGTGTATTTGACTTTCCTACTGGGATTTTCCCTTTCTTACAGATTCTTACCTCTTTTCCATTTAGAGAAGACCCTTCAACATTTCTTTTAGGGTAGGTTTAGTATGCTGAATTCTTTTAGTTTTTGCTTGTCTCAGAAGTTCTTTATCTCTCCTATTCTAAATGATAATCTTGCTGGGCAGAGTATCATAGGTTGCAGGTTTTTCCCTTTCAGGATTTTGAATATATCATGCCTATCCCTTTTGGCCTGCAAAGTTTCTGCAGAGAAATCAGCTGATAGCCTTATGGGGATTCCTTTATATATGACACTTTGTTTTTCTCTTGCTGCCTTTAGAATTCTCTTTAACTTTTGCCATTTTAATTGTATGTCTTGGTGTGGGTCTGTTTGGGTTCATCTTGTTTGGAACCCTCTCTGCTTCCTGTATCTGGATATCTGTTTCCTCCTTCAGGTTTGGGAAGTTTTCAGCCATAATTTCTTCAAATCCATTTTTGATCCCCTTCTCTCTCTCTCCTTCTGGAACCCCTATAATGCAAATGTTGGAACACTTAATGTTATTGGAGAAATCTCTTAGATTGCTTTCACTTTATAAAATGTGTTTTTCTCTCTGCTGTTCTGATTTGGTGATTTCCATGATTATATCTTCCAGGTCAATTATGCAATTATCCGTATTACTTAACCTGCTATTCATTCCTTTCAGTGTGTTTTTTTTCAGCTGTTGAGTTCTTCATTTCTGATTGGTGGTTTTTTTTTATGTTTCTAATTCCTTGTTAAAATGTTCAGTGTTTAGATCAATTGTTTTACCTAATTCAGTTAAGCTTTTTATTACCAATTGTTTTGAATTACTTATCTGCTGTTTATTTCCATTTCATTATTTTTTCAGGGTTTTTTTCTTCCTCTTTGAATTGAGAATAGTTCCTCTGCCTTTTAATTTTACTTTTCTTTTTTTTTTTTTTTTTTTGCGGTATGCGGGCCTCTCACTGTTGTGGCCTCTCCCGTTGCGGAGCACAGGCTCCGGACATGCAGGCTCAGCGGCCATGGCTCACGGGCCCAGCCGCTCCTCGGCATGTGGGATCTTCCTGGACTGGGGCACAAACCCGTGTCCCCTGCATCGGCAGGCGGACTCTCAACCACTGCGCCACCAGGGAAGCCCTAATTTTACTTTTCTCTGCTTCTATGAACTAAGGTGAAGCAGTGACCTTTTGTGGACTTGAAGGGGTGTTCTTATTTGGGAGTGTCCCTATGCAGATTGCACATGTCCAGTGCCTTTGGTGGGAGGGCTGGATTTGATGTGGATGCCAGTCACATCTTTCCTGATGTTGTGCTGGCAGCTCTTACCTTGGTAGTGGGGTGTGACTGGGGATGGAGGGGCTAGAGCTGGCTCCTGGTGTGAGACGGGACTTGCTCTCTGTTCAGTGGCTGTCACCTCTCTGTCAGGGGTGGGGTCTGATCCCAAGTTGCTGAAGCAGAAGCCCTTTGTGTCAGGCTCAAGCTGCCTCTGTTCCCTTTACGTGTGTGTTTTTCTCTCTCCCAGCACCAAGACCTTTGCCCCAGAGTAGGGAGTGCTGAAGCAAGTGGGGCCTTTCACATACAAAGGTTCAACGCACTGCTTGTGTAGGTGTCTGTGGCTCCTTCAGATGCAACCCATGGTAGAGTCTTTTTCCTGGTCGTGGCTGTCCCACATCCAGTGCCGCACTGTGGCACAGACTGAGTAGAGCCAAAGCATTCACTGGTGCACGGTGAGGTGGCTGTGGGAAACCCAGTAACCATGCAGACCTCTCCTCAGAGGCAAGACCCCTTTTCCCCTCACAGCTGGTTGCTGTTCCCAGCCTCCACTGTGCTCTACAGGGGAGGGGAGCCTGAATGGTTTCTCTGCATTTATGGGGTAGGGAGGTGTTGAGGTGTGGTACAGTGGGGCCCAGAGTGGCACGGTTGTGGGAAATCTGCCAGCTGCTAGAGCAGACCTCTCTTCACCCTGCTTCAGAGACAGGCCAGTGCTCACACCTCATGAATAGAGTCCAGGCTTCTCCAGCCTTTCTATCTGTCCAAGCAGTCCAGAAGGCTTGTCTCCTCCACATAGGACTCCAGGACCGGGACACCCAGTCTGTGGCTTGACCCACTCACTCCTGGATACCCAGGGTGGGTATCCACCTTTGCAATTTCTTATTTCCTCTGAGTTCCCTCCCAGGAGCACAGGTCCCTACCTGATCGCTTTTCTTCCATTCCTGTGTGATTACCTCTTCCTTACAGCCTTGGTTGTTCAGTCCTTTTTCCAGTTTCCAGTGAGAATTGTTCCACCTGTAGGTGTATTTTTGATGTGTTCATGGGGGGAGGTGAGCACCACGTCCCTTTACCTCCACCATCTTGATCTTTTCTCTTCCGTGTTGGGAGTTTTTTGATTACTGATTCAATCTCATTACTCAATAGTCTGTTCAGATTTTCTGTTTCTTTCTGATTCAGTCTTGGTAGGTTGTGTGTTTCTAAAAATGTATCCATTTCTTCCAGGTTACATAGCTTTTTGGCATATAATCTTTCATACTAGTTGCTTATGATCCAGTGCATTTCTGTAGTTCAGCTGTAATGTCTCCTCTTCCACTTCTAATTCTCTCTTTTTTCCTTAGTCCAAGTAAAGGTTTGTCAACTTTATCTTTTCAAAGAACCAGCTCTTAGTTTCGTTGATCCTTTCTGTTGCTTTCCTGGTCTCTATTTCATTTATTTCCACTCTGATCTTTATTATTTCCTTCCTTCTGCTAACTTTGGGCTTAACTTGTTCGAGTTCTTGAAGTGTAAAGTTAGGTTGTTTATTTGAGATCTTTCTAATTTCTTAATATATACATTAATGCTCTAAAGTTCCAGCTTTTACTGCATCCCACAAGATTTGGTATGTTGCATTTCCATTTTCATTTGTTTTGAGATAATTTTTAAATTTCCCTTTTGATTTCTGTTTTGACCTAATGGTTGTTTAGAAGTGTGTTGTTTAATTTCCACATATTTATAAATCTTTTCACTTTCTTCTTGTTGATTTCTATTTTCGTACCACTGTGGTCAGAAAAGATAGTTGGTATGATTTTATTCTTCTTAAATTTGCTAAGATTTGTTTTGTGGTCAGTATGATCAATCTTGGAGACTGTTCCATGTGCACTTGCGAAGAATGTGTATTCTGCTGCTGTTGGATGTAGTGTTCTGTATATGTCTGTTAGTCCATTTGTTTTAAAGTGTGGTTCCAACATTTCCTTGCTGATTTTCTATCTGGACAGTCTTTCCATTGCTAATAGTGTGGTATTGAAGTTCCCTACTATTATTGTATTATTGTCGATTTCTCCCTTACGATCTATCAGTATTTGCTTAATATGTTTCAGTGCTTGGGTGTTGGGAGTGTATGTGTTTTTTAAAAAATATTTATTTATTTATTATTTTTGCTGTGCTGGGTCTTAGTTGCAGCATGTGCAGTCTTTTACTTGTGGCATAAGGACTTCTTAGTTGTGGCATGCAAACTCTTGGTTGTGACATGTGGACTTCTTAGTTGCGACATGCAGACTCTTAGTTGTGGCATGCATGTGGGGATCAAACCAGGGCCCCCTGCATTGGGAGCGCAGAGTCTTACCCACTGGACCACCAGGGAAGTCCCAGGAGTGTGTGTGTTATGATTGTTGTCTTCTTTTTGTGTTGACCACTTTATCATTAGATAATGACCTTCTTTTTCTTTTGTTACCCTTTTTGCCTTGAAGTCTATTTTATCTAAGTATGACTATGCCCACCTTCTTCTGGTTTCTGTTTGCTTAAAATATCATCTTCCATCCTTTCACTTTGATCCTGTGTGTCTTTAGAGCTGAAATAAGTAAAAACTGGGATGATGGTCACTGCACCTTGAATAGTGCTGTGTAATTTTACACGGCTGCCTCAGGTTCTGTTTGCCCAAACAATGATTCCCAAAAGCCAGTGCTTCTCGTCACATCCTTTGGCTGTCTCTTGCTCCCAACTTAAATGACTATCCATGTGCTCTTGATGCAACTGCTTAAGAATTTATCTACAAATCATTGTGGAAAACAAAGAGAGGAATAATAGGCGAAGTATCTTACTAAATTGTTGGTAAATCTATATTCTGTTTTATTGTATGTTTATGAACACTAAGGCCAACCTGATTTGTATGTCTTGTTTAGTACCACTAAAAATGTCATTTTGACACTAAGTGCAGTATTTTACTGTTGAATTATTTTTTAAGTACTATTTCTTAATGTATTTATACACATATCATAGGAACTATCAAGAAACCTTGAGCTAAGTACTAACAGTTTCCAGCGACAGTTGCTTGCTGAAAGGAAAAGGGCATATGAGGCTCATGATGAAAATAAAATTCTTCAAAATGAGCTACAACAACTACATCACAAATTAAAGGTAAGCATTTTATTTTAAATGGCATCATTTCTCCCTATGTTATATATTAGATGAAGACTCTATTTTAAAACATTGTTATCATTTATATTTGGAACTTTGGTACAATATCATTTACAAAATTCTAATATTTTCTTTGGCACTTATAAAGAAAATATTTGTTAAAATGAGACATTAGATACACTAATAGGAATGATATAACTGAAAAAAGTTATAAAATCCTGCAAGAAAGTTATGGGAACTAGAGTTTTTCTGTGTTGCATGGTTGAATAGTTCAGTGTTCTTCCTCAGATAACCCCATGATTGATTATTTTTAAAGTTGTTCCAAATAATGCCCTTCCTTTTCACAGTGTTTAGAAGAAGTATTAGAATTAATTAATTCTGTTAAAGTAGGTGTTCTTAATTCTATCCAGAGGTCATTGATGGGTTGAAATTTTGTGCAACATTAAGTGTTTATGCATTATCTTGCATAGAATTTTCATTTTGTTAATCAAATTCTCAGAGAAAGCCATAGCTGCAAAATGGTGAAGAACACTTGTGTTTTAAAAAATGGTCTAATTTTTAACTCGCCATTAATTTGGAACCCACATTTGAGAGATGCTAATTAAATTCTTTGTGTGGCTAAGCCTGGAAGTCAGTTGAAGACATTACTATATCATGTAGGAGTGGGTAGAAAATGAATTTTGCCTTATTCTGATTTTCATGCCTGCTACTGCATATTGGACTTTCAGTGGAGAATCATTGCTCTACCGTAACCTAAATGTCCTAAAGACATTCCTTTCTATAATTGGTAGTTACAAAGGGAAGCTGAACTTAGGTATATTCCAATTTGGTGAGGAAAATACCAGTTGAAAAGATGAGGATTTTTGTTTTATTTTAAACTGAGACTCTACATTCTTAATTGTGTTGGGTTTGTTTTCAGGAAAAGGAGAGAGAACTGGACTTAAAAAACATATATTCTAATCGTCTGCCAAAGTCTTCTCCAAAGAAAGAAAAAGAAATTACATCAAAAAAAAATGGTATAGTAGTTATTATTGTTGAAAAACATTGTAGTTATTAATAATAAAATAAATTAATTTTGAAGTAGAAGGACGATGAAGGGAAAGAACTTTATTGAAATAGATTTCCTTATAGGTACTTTTCAGAAATCCTTTCACTTTCTCAGTTTTTTCCCTTGAGGTTATTACAGTTATGTTTTACATAATTAAAATGTTTTTCCTAATTATAACTTATTTTTCTAAACTTTTATGAAAAACTATAAGCATACCCTAAACAGGAAATTATAGTATGATAAATCTTTATTTATGTATCACCACCTTTAACAGTTATACATTTTACTAATTTTATTTCACCTATTTTTTCTACTTTTTTTCTGGAGTACTTTAAAGCAAATCCCAGCTGTCATTTCATTTCACTCATAAATACTTTGCTATTTTTATGCATATTCTTTTTCAAAAAACAAAAGTATAATTTCCTTCTTCTCTGGTTTGCAAAAAGTTAAAAACATAAACTTTGTAAAAGTTTAATAGATTGATTTATCCCTCAGAGTTGTCCTCAAATGACAAAATTGCCAGTAAATCCTAGAAATAAAAACAGTAATAGTGAGTAGTCATGGAGCTGAGAAACGTGCATTTTCTCATTTAGAGGGTGAACATATACCAATTGAATTCCATATATCTTAGCACTGTTCAATACGATTAGAAAAATTCTTTTATAATTTTCATGGTAGCTGCATGCCAGAGTGATTTTACAAACCAGTGTACAAAAGAAGTACAAACCAGTGAAGACTTCGAGCTGGAGGAATATCCTATAACACCACAAACAGTTATGTGTTATGAAAACAAATGGAAAGAACCTGAACGTCTTTCTTTGGTGAGTTTAGCAATATGATTAGGTACGAAACTCTAGGTTTGAAGTTATTCCTAAATGCACAATATCAAACATTTAAAAATTTCAGCAATGAAGCTAGTGCCATAGCTGTATAAATATGCAACTAGCCTTTTACAGGGAAAGAGATAACATCTGTGCATTTTATTAAACTCCTTTGGATTGACTCTTAGTTAACACTGCATCTCTCAGATGCTTCAGAAATGTCAGTTGTACTCTCTAGGTTGGAGGAAGAAGAAAAGAAAATTATCTAAGTTTCTTACCTTTTATGTCTCTTACCAGATAGTCTCTAAAAATCCTTCTGGCTTTTATGTTTAATAGCAAGTTATAGTAGTTTTCAAATGATTTGTTAGAATTTGACTACATTTAATTTTTTTGGCTTCCTATGTAAGAGAATTTTATAGTTTAGCTGAATGTCGAGCAAAGTAATTGCAGTGGAATCTGACTTTATATCATTCAAATTAGAGTGGAATTCAGGAGGTCTGTGTTGCATCTTCATTTAAAAGGACTCATACTGAGTACTGGAAGGTCCTTTTCTCTAATAGGGTTTTATCTTTAGTGTTTACAGTTGAAACTCTAAAGAAAACAATATACGAGGGATCCTGCATATTTCATATAATGCTGTATTTTTGATACTACTTGTAAGTATCCCAGGGATCCTGAGATCACCTCCTGTGTGTGGACTGAATTGATTCCTGTGTGTACTCTAGTTTTGTTTTGTTTTTTTCCTTTATTTTGTTTTTGTTTTACAATTTAGATAAGTTAGCTGTATCTGCTAAGTGTGTTTCTTCCTATATTTACAAATCCTTGAGACTAGGTCATGTTAATTTTTTTTTTTTTGAAAAGGCAAAGTGTGGAATAGCAAAGTAATTCTTAATTTTAGAAGGGTTAAAAAATTTGCCCTTTATAAGATTCAGCAGAAGCAGCAACCTGATATAGTGAAAGAGGATATAGCCCTGGAGTTAGCACTGTGTTTTAATTAAATTACAGTTCTAACATTTTAGTGACTTGTGTGACTTGTTGGAGCCTTAGTTTCCTAATCTATAAAACAAGGGTGGGTTACCCTTCAGGGTTGTGGTAATAACTAATCATGAAGTTTATAAAGCCCTTAAGACTAATCCTGTCACTTTGAGGGGTCCCAGCAAATGGGAGCTCTGTTAGTAAAAGTATAGGCTGTTGCTATTGGAAAGAGATCCAGAATACAGTGGCTCAAGCAAGAGATAAGATTCTTTCTCTTGTAATAAACTGAAGGTCAGTGGGTAGTCCCCAGAATAGGTAGACACCTTTGTTCCATGGTAGCCATTCTCTGTCTCATTGTTTTTCGATCATGAAGTGTGTAACCACATCTGTGTGGTTGCAATTGTCTTATCATACCTGGGAGAAGGAGGAATGAGGAAGTGGAGGGCAAGCAGCTTTTGTTTTTATAAATGTGATCAGAAGTTGCATACATACGTCCACTCACATTCCACTGGTCCTGTCTAGCTGCAGGGGAGGCTAGCAAATGTGGTCTTCAGTTAGGCAGCCCTGTGCTCTGCTAAAACTTAAGGGATTCTGTAACAAAAAGGAAGAAGGGGAAAATGGATACTAGGAGACAATTCTCTACAAATCCACTAGTAATAAATTTTACTTTTATTAAGAAAAATTACACACACACGTGAAAGGGACCATAAGAAACAATAAATTTTAAGTTTACATTTTTATTTGATTTAAATATTATAAGATTTATTAATTGGAGACCTTGGGCATAGTATAAACTTGAAAGATTCTATGCCATTGTCGCTGCCGGTGTTACAGCTCAACACCGTATCACTTGGCCTTTAATAGTTGATGAATAGCCTTTATTGGTTAACTGAATTCATCAGATTTTGTTGTGAAATATGCAAAGTAAGGATACCTCTTTTTTTTTTAAATAAACATTTATTTATTTTTGGCTGTGTTGGGTCTTCGTTGCTGCGTGCAGGCTTTCTCTAGTTGCAGCGAGCGGGGGCTACTCTTTGTTGCAGTCGCAGGCTTCTCATTGCGGTGTCTTCTCTTGTTGCGGAGCATGGGCTCTAGGTGCATGGGCTTCAGTAGTTGTGGCTTGTGGGCTCTAGAGTGCAGGCTCAGTAGCTGTGGCGCACAAGCGTAGTTGCTCTGCGGCATGTGAGATCCTCCCAGACCAGGGCTCGAACCTGTGTCCCCTGCATTGGCTGGTGGATTCTTAACCACTGTGCCACCAAGGAAGCCCAGCAAGGATACTTCTGATACTTGTCTCTTAAGAATTTTATGTAGGGCATTGGCTTTGCTTCCATTATATTGGTTCTGATATGTTTTCCAAATGCCTCTTTAAAAATTTTAACTAAAGTAAGAAATAATCTTGTGTGCTTTTGAAAATCTTTCAAAGGTGGTAACTTGTAGCTTGCTGCTTTAGAAATGGAAAATTTGCTTTAATTTCTAACAGTTGGGATTGTGCTTAATGGGAGATAAATCTATGATATTTAAATTGCTTTTTCCCCCTTTTCCTGCATGTGAACTTGCATTTAAAAAAAATGTATAATAGGATCTGGAATCTCAAGAGAGAGATGATCATGAAGAAGCAGGGATTCTAAACCCAATTGTGGAAAGAGAAGACAAATTTGTTAAAGATCAAGGACTCCATGCTGTGAAACAGGAGGCTGAGAAGCTGGAGGATGGTAAGAAAGAGTTTAAGCAAGTGATAAGTCGGCATCCCTTGGAAAAGAAAGGGTTAATATCCCCTAATATCTTCCAGCTGAACAGTGAATTGGTTATACAGAACAAGAAAAGGTTGTTACAGTGGTGGGGGGAGTCTATCAAGCAGTCAGAAACCTTTGAATGAAGTTACTAAGGAAAGAAAAAGAATGAAGACTGTAAGTTGCTATTTGGGATTAGGGGATAGAAACAAGTTACTTTCAGAAAATTCAGATAAAGTAGAATTCATTTGAAAGGGGAAAAAATTCTTTATGTATAACTAAGCCTGATGAAGAGATAACTGAAAGACAACCCTGTTTATTGGCCTGACCTTGAGCCTGTCTAGTCTGTAGACCAGCCCAAACATTAAAATCAATGAATTGTGAGGCCTTGAATATATTCCTATAATTTTTCTTCAGTTTTAATATATAAAATAAATCTTTAACATATTCAACCATTAATGTGGAAGTTTAGTGAACCAATTCACATAGTTGCAGGTACTGGAAATGAAGTTCAGGAATAAATTCATTTCCATTTGGATAAAATGTCTTAAAGGTATAAGCGAGAAGGATCCCAGACTCTAATCCTTTGCATCTATTTTATTAATTATGTATTAGCTGCTTACAGAGAAATACTGTTTTTCCCTTAAAGTTAACAAAAAATCATGACCTAATTATTGCTTAGAATATGTATATTTTTGTGTGTGTATTTAAAACAATGTAACAGTTGAAATAGAAGCCACATTTATGTCAATGTTGGCTAAACCACAAAGGAAGACGCTTGCAACATATTAAACTATAGAGTAGAAAATAGGTATTATGGTCAGTTCTGTCTAGGAACCAGGAAAAGGAATAAAGTAGCAGAAGACTATCACTTCTTTGTCATTTTTGACTGATTTTTTTTTTTCCTGGAGTCTGCGTGGAATGATCTGATTATCAGTGAGAATTTGTGCCATTTATAAAGTTACCAAATGCATAGTGTCCTTACATGTTTAATATTTTTAGTTTTTTCATTTAGAAATCCTTTCAAAATTATAGTAAAGTGGCAATAATAGCCAGAGAACCACGTAAGAGTAAGTTGTATACTTCATGGCCATATCCTAAAATACTTTCATACGTATTTCTCCAAGATAAGGACATTCTCTTCTATCATTCCAGTGTAGTTTAACTTCAGGAAATTTAACTTTGATACAACACATTTCTCCAATCTGCAGTCCACAGTACTGTTTTGTCAGTTGACACAGTATTGTCCTTTATAGCATTTTCTTCCCTTTTTTTTTTTTTTTAACATCTTTATTGGGGTATAATTGCTTTACAATGGTGTCTTAGTTTCTGCTTTATAACAAAGTGAATCAGTTATACATATACATATGGGAACATATGTATATGTATAACT